TGAGCACCTTATAATATCAAATTTCTTAACATGTAGAATTGCTATAAAGCATTCACCCCATCTAATAGAATGAGGGGCATAAGACCTGGGACGGGGGAGTCACCATTGGAGCACCTATATACACTGACTTTCAGGATGGAACTGAACCTTCCCGATGAACCCCTACGGGGGACAGAGCATCACTCTGCCTGTAGCCTGCTGCTTTGAATTCCCCTCCCGCTCGGGTAGGGCTTCAGGAACTCCTTCTTGGGTTACCTGCCCTCCTCTTCCTCTGCCATCCATGGGGGAGGATCATGGAGAATTAAATACCTCTGAAATTAGAATGAGTCAGCTGCCACATTGCCAGGTTACTTCACGAACAACAAAACAAGGACCCTTGTTGGGCAGTGTAGCCCGTTGAAAACTCTGGAGCCCACAAGAATGCTGTTTCCTGACCTCCCTCCCCCATGGAGAGCCTGCGAGTGTTGTAGCCTGCTCAGGCCTCTGCCTGGGTCCAAGACACGTGACAGGCTGCTGTGTGGACCACACTGAAGTATGAGCTGATTAACACCAGACCTGGGTTAGAAGAAGATTCCCTTCTGTGTGTTTCCACCCTAAGCCTGACCCGTATTGCTCTCTCTCCCCATCACTCAGCCTCTTGGTCCTGACCCTAACTCTGGTCTCTTCTGATGTCCCTTGAATTTAGTGTTTTCCTGGTGAGTGGACGGTAACCTCCCCCCGATCTCCAGCTTTCCCACTTTCTCTGCCCTTCATGTCTCCCATTGGCTCTGCATCCTAACCTCTAACCTGACCACTGGGCCTGCTGTGGTTGCTTTCCGGTGGGGGTAGGATGTCAGTTAAGAAAGAAACCCTCGGGATGCTGATCTATAAGGTAGGCAGAACATCATCAGCTCCTGAAAGAGGCTGAAGGAGCAGTGATGGGAGGGGTGCCAAGGGAGAAGGACTCCCAGTCTACACTTGCTGGCTGGTTGGCAGTAACTTTTTTTTTTTTAAGATTTTATTTATTTGAGACAGAGAACGAGTAGGGGTTAGGGGCAGAGGGAGAGGGAGAAGCAGACTTCTTGCTGAGTAGGGAGCCCGACTCGGGGCTCGATTCTAGGACCCTGGGATCATGACCTGAGCCAAAGGCAGAGGCTTAACCGACTGAGTCACCCAGGCGCCCCTGGCAGTAACTCTTCTGGGTGATTTCTGGGAGTCCTGAATTCTGTACATAGGTTGGTCTAGAAAGTCGAAAAACAGTCTTTCCCATCAAAATTGACTAGCTTTGTTTATACTCTGGCTTGGGCAAATTAGTTTCAATCTATCTGTTCCAGTGCCTAGCACAATGCCCAGCATATGGCAGACACTTGATAAATATTTGTTGAAAAAATGTACGAAAGTCATTAGATGCCGTAGTCTCATGTAACCATAATTACAGAAGACCAGTGATGGCAGCCTTCCAGCCGTGTGGGGTGTGCAGTGGCCTCTCTTGAAATGCAGCTGGAAGCGTTCCCAGTGGTTTCTATTTTACCTTCAAGAGGCTCCAAGGAAGGAAATTCTCACCTTTTTAAGGCTCTTCTTTCGATTGTAGTTGTGCCTGTTTGTTCCAACAACAATTTGTCGATGCCAACTGGGTGTCCTGCCTTTCAGTTCAATTCTGACAGTAACTACCTGGAGTTAGCACAGATCCCACAAATTACGGACTCAGTCCCACAAGACTGCCCCTCCACTTTAGATGCCAGATGCAAGTCTTGGGTATCCCCAAGTTAACCTCACTTCTGCCCAGGACTACCAGTTTGGGGGTTCCTATGTCCCCTCCACTTCGGGTTCAATAATTCACTAGAACAGAGTTCTGTGAACTCACGAAAGCACTGGACTTATGATTACAGTTTTCCTCTAAAGAATACAACTCAGGACCAGGCAAAGGGAAGAGATGCATAGAGCAAGGTATAGTACCTCGACATGTTCATCAACTCAAACCCTCCAAGCCCTGTGTTCAACAAGAGTTTTCACTGAGGTTTCTTTACTTAGTCATGATTGATAAAATCTCCAGTTCTCCCATCCCCAGGGTTGGAGAGTGGGGCTGAAAGTTTCAACCCTCTAATCACGGGGTTGGATCCCCTGGCAACCAGCCCCCATCTGAAGCTCGATAGGGGCTCCTACCTATACGAAACTCAGGTATGGCATAATGAAGCTCTTTACAAATAACAAAGGGCCCACCTGTCACTCAGGAAACTTGGTGGTTTCAGGACCTCTGTGCCAAGAAGCAAGGAGAAAGAGCATACAATACATATTTCTTTTTATACCACAATAGAGGAAACCTATTTTGACAGACCCAAGTGTGGTTGGTCCTTCTGATTTCAGTTCGTTGTTAGAGGGACTTTCACTGGCCCTCCAGACTGAGTAAGAACCTGTTCTTTAGGAGGATAGGATATGTCCTTCCCTTGCCTCCGCCCCTGATTCTGGTATATTACAGTATGAGGATCTTTTGAACCCCACATATTTTCTGTCTATGAAGATCGAAAGAATGGCCTGTGGAATGTGGGTGCCAGTTGGGTGGTTATGTTGTCAAGGCCTGATGGGAGCAAAGTGGGCAGAGCCAGAGGGTCTTAGGTTAGACCCTGCCTCCACCCCTGACTCACTATGTCATTTTGGGAAAATCATTTATTTCATGAGACCATTTCTAAACACGGAAGAAGTGTGAGGACATACTTTTCTTATCTGTCCATTCCAGGGTCCAGCATGTAGACTGTGAGATGGTTAGTCCACCCAGGCTTACTGTTATGCTCAGGATGGATATTTTGGGTTCTGTGGCAAGTGACTTTGTTCTTGCCTAATCTTGGCAAAACCTATTCTACTCCTCTTTGTCTCACAAAGGAGCTGATGAGAGGCGGGCTGCGGGGGGGAAGCATGTTGACTGTAATCTGCTCTCACTTGAGGGGTCTCCAAGGCTTCCTTGATGGCCAGAATACTCCCTGCCCCCAGGTGGAGATTAGCAAGGCACAGCCTGTCTTACCTGAAGCACATTTGGGTAGAGATGAGCCCCACCCTTCTATCTGTGCTTTGATAAACACTACCAGGAAGAAATGAAAAATAGGGTAATATGCCAAACTGAACGTAGGAAAGCCCTTTTCTGGGATGTTTCAAATGTAAAATTCATTGCCACCAAAAAAACTCAAGTTTCTTTTTTTCCCCTTCAATCTTTGTGAGAGGCCTGGGGCTTGTCTGTTGGAAACAGTAGAGAGGGCAGGTTAAGGAGCGTAGTTTTTCCCAGTGTGTCTTTGGTAAGAAAGATTACGGCGGTACAGATTCCAGCTGACAACTCGGGAGGCTTCTTTTCTCCAGTTTGGAATCCTGGGGCCACTGCCTTTACTACAGTAGCCTCTCCTTGAGCCTTTTTCCAGCTAGCACCTGAAAAGTCCTCCTCTCATTTGATTTGGGGTCCATAATGAATTTAAATGCCAAGGGCGAATTTCCCCAGTAACTTTATAAACCAGTTACAGCCTTTTAGGAGGCATTTGGAGGGGTGGAGGAAAGGAAAGGAGGTGGGAGAGGGATACAGTCTCTTCACCCTGCTCCCAGTTTTGATTTTCTGTCTGCCTTTCTCCTTTTCCTGTAGCCATCTGTCTAGTTCAGCATTAGAGCTTCCAAATTCTTCTCCTCACTCCCCACTCCAGTCTATTTGGTGTACTGTTTTCCCTTAGAATGTGGGGCTGACCCTGTTGTCCTCCTGTTCTTCAGTGGCTGCTGGGCATGAAACAGGCATGGGGGGTGTCTTCTGGCCCCTCTGCCAGGATTCCTGCTGGCCACCCCCTCCCCTCTCAGCTCCAGTCATTCTGACCTTCTCTCCATTCTGACACCATATCATTCCCTTGTAAATCCACTCTTACATCCAAGGCAGTGCTGGGCACAGAATCAACTTTGAACAGTATCTGGGGATGAGGATACTCCCCTGCCATGGGGCCTTTCTCAGGAGGTGGCATCACAAATTGCCATGCATGTTCACCCTGCTTCATGGCCACACTCCACTCACCTTCCCAGGTTCCATTGATCAAAGTGCATCACTTCCTGTACTTTTGTATACTTCCTGTACTTCTGTACTTTTGGTACTTCTGTACTTCCTCTCATTCTGAAGTGCTTTATTGCACCTTTATTATCCACGTATTGCAGATGTTACAATGTTGTGGGTTAGAGTGACCATGGATGTTTGTCTTTGCTCTCAAGTGGAGGTTCCAGAAGGCAGGGGTTACTGTTTTCTCTAGCACCTACAAGAGAGCCTGGTGTGTAATAGCCACTCAATAAATATTTGTTGAATACATGACTAAACTTCTGGGGAACAGGAACTGTGTCTTTTTAATCTTCAGATCCACCACAGCATCTTCACATTAAAAATAGGTCAATAAATGTCTTTCTAGATTATTCATTTAAATAGAATTCATGTCCTAACATCTTTGCAGGAAGAGCCTTTTACGGGTGAAAGTCCAGTTCTGTCCTATTGCATCACAGCCATTGTAGCTGTAACCATGTTCACTTCCAGACGCTCACATCCTGTGACATATTCTCTCTGATGTGTGAAAGACTATATGTAAAAAGATCTACAAGAGCATGTGTGTGTGCAGAACCGTGCACACGTGTGTACATGCACATACACACAATTTTAAAAAATGGAGTCATTTTTTATGGGAAAATAATTGAAATCAGCCCTAACTCTGAAAGCTGAAATGTATGCGGCCATCTTCCTAATGAGTTTTTCTAATGTTCTGGAATTCTTTCCTTTTGTGGGACCAGCACAGCATTTTACATATGGGGAGTCTTATCTCCATGGATGCCAGAGACCAGGTTTTAAACTTTAAACATTTTCACCCATACTAGTTTTCAATATTTGCTGATCGATTGTGTGGTTATTCTATAGGACTTAGATAAAGGAGCTGTTTCCACATGAGCTTTCTGTTTGGTCTGTTGGGTTATTTATATTGTACAAATGAGCATTCATTTCTGTCTGGGTGTGACCTCTTTTCCAGGGAAGTTCCCTTGAAGGATGCTAAGGAATATGCCGAATCCATAGGTGCTGTCGTGGTTGAAACAAGTGCAAAAAATGCTATTAATATTGAAGAGCTCTTTCAAGGAATCAGTAAGTACCTGAACTGCGTTCTCGGCTTTGCTTACGTTTGTATGCTTCTGAGAGTCAAAGGATAAAATCACAGGATGCTGCCTGGAGCTTTCCCTCTGTGTGACTCTGTCTGATGCCATGGATATAAAACTTACAGTCGGCATTTGTTAGTCCTGACCTATATCGTGCCTCCCGATTCTGAATTTCCACAGTCCTGTGCTTTAACCTGTCGACTCTATGTTTTATGAACCAAAATGAAGTAACTGTGTCACAAAAGAAGTCATTATAATTAAAAAGTTGTGTGTTTGATAGCATTTTGTGTTAGTATGTTGAGGGGGAGAGAAATAAAACAGACAGTGATAAGGCGTAGAAAACTAAAGTCATGTGTTAAACGGAATGACTCTAGGCAAACAAAATAAAGGGACCTTTTAGTAATTTCTTTCACCTGGTGGTCATCAAAAAAATGAGTCTCCATCCCACAAGACCTGAAATTGGGAATTAGGTGGACAGTTGATTTTTCTCATTTCTGATCAGCCAGCTAGTGGAAGGTGGTGGCTCCCTTCTTTGTCTCCTGTTCTGGGTCGTGTTATAATTCCCTTTCTTTATGCTGGTTCCCCATAAGTCACCTTTATCTAAGACCTGTATCCCAGCTGACGGCCAGATTTCCCCTCCACAACTTCTTTGGTAAAGATGTTCTGCACTGGGTCCCCTCAGAGAGCTCCCTGCTGCCGGCTGGCTTGGGAAACTGTCCTGGGTTGCCCCAGAGCCTAATGGGGGACTTTGTCCAAGTGTTAGCCTTTACTGAGGTGCTGGGACTCAGGGGCCTGGGGTGCCCGCCTTCAGAAAAGTTGAACCCCTGAACAGTTGGCTGTTGTTCTCAAAGGTCTTATCTGGTTCCAGACAATTCCAGAAGGGCATTCCAGAGGGGAAACCAATGGTTTGATCTCTCTTCTGCCTGAAGTCATTGTTGGCGGTGCTCTCAAAGTCAGAGGGTCTGTCACTTCCCAGAACAGATTTGATTTCCTTTTAACCGGTTTTGGTTCATTACTTTAGGCTCTGAGAACACATAGCAGGGATTATTTTGTTTGTTTCTCTTGGCTTGATGGGGACTTTCACTTGGAGATGGGGATCTCTGGTCTGGGTTACTTACACGATACAGAAATGCACACAAACACACACAGCCCCTGCCTAACTTGTTCCCTGGGGTCCACATCACCTTCCCTTCCATCCTCCTTCCGAGGCTTCGTGTTCCCGCTGTTATTTTATGCTCTCAACAGATTAGTGTTATCCAAGCGTGTTGACCTTAGTGGTTGGACTGTAGAGTGCTAGGCTGTAATTTTATGTTGGAAACCCTGGATCCCCAGATTCCTGCTCCTTCCTGAAAACGGGCTGTGGCTGCAATGCTCTGCTGTGAAGCCACCACTCAGCTGCCCTGTTTCTGTGGAACGCTGGGTGACATCTTAGAGCATTTGGCTTGAACTTGTTCCATTAACCTCATTTTCCCTCACATCAAACTCATTCTTTTCCAGTGGCGTTCGGCTTTTCTGGCAAGTTAGGCAAGTTGTACGACGATTCAACATTTTGTTTTGATTAAAGGTTTTAATTAGTGAAGGTAGATAGCTCCTGATGACCATGACATTGACCCCTTTCCTTTGTGCAGCTTCTTATATGTTCTGGAGCCCTTTCCCCAGCATTAGCCCCCGACAGGCAGGTGGTGCAGACGGCAGTGGCCAGTGAAGGAAGCACAGTTCTCTGCACACCTGAGATTCAGCTGGAGGTTTCTGCCCAAGCTGGGAGACTTTCTGAGGTTTACACAAATCATTACTAAAATAAAGAACAAAATAAGAACTGCAAAGAAGAAAATAAGCTCAAGCGGCAAGTATTAATACCTTACCTGGAAAGATACTTCTTTGTATGGTGCAGTCAGTAGACATCTCTTCACCCATATGAGGTCTTTATGGCTCAAGGTGATGGGGACTATGAGTAAGGAATTCCTAAGATCTTGGTGGTCTGCTTCATTTAAGAAAAAGCACGTGTTTGAGGTGCCTGGGTGGCTCAGTCAGTTAAGGGTCTGCCTTTGGTTCTGGTAATGATCCCGGAGTCCCAGGATGGAGCCCCACCTCCAGCTCCCTGATGAGTGGGGAGTTGGCTTCTCTCTCTACTCCTCCCCCCACTCGTGCTTGCTCTCTCTCTCTCAAATAAATAAATAAAATCTTTAAAAACATGAAAAATCACGTGTTTTGCTTAAAGCACTGGATAATTATGACTTCAAATTATGGCTTCAAATAATTAATTTCTAAATAAGCCATAGAATAGTTGTGCCACCTCATCTTCTATGTCAAATAAACAATTGTTTATTTCTGTTTCATTATACTTTGGTTAAAATTGCCTTAGTGGGCGCCTGGGTGGCTCAGTTGGTTAAGCGACTGCCTTCGGCTCAGGTCATGACCCTGGAGTCCCGGGATCGAGTCCCGCATCGGGCTCCCTGCTCGGCGGGGGGTCTGCTTCTCCCTCTGACCCTCCCCCCTCTCATGTGCTCTCTCTGTCTCTCATTCTCTCTGTCTCAAATAAATAAATAAATAAATCTTTTTTTTTTTTTTAAAGATTTTTATTTATTTGACAGAGAGAGAGAGTGAGCACAAGTAGGCAGAGAGGCAGGCAGAGGGAGAGGGAGAAGCAGGCTCCCCGCCGAGCAGGGAGCCCGATGCGGGACTCGATCCCGGGACTCTGGGATCATGACCTGAGCTGAAGGCAGCCGCTTAACCAACTGAGCCACCCAGGCGCCCCAATAAATAAATCTTAAAAAAAAAATTGCCTTAGTAAAGAAGCGTGTAGGTACACGGCCCGCAGCAAGACCTCTAGCCATGTGTATACTGTAAGTGCTGGTGCCTCTTTACTCCTTCAGGTGAATTTCTTCAGAATGGGGTGTTGTAGCCTAATTACAGGTTAATTTAAAATGCAGCACCAAGTACACCTAAATGCAGCGCAGCAGACATTTCGTTTATTTCCCTTTTCCCTGTTCCTACTTGTATTACATGCGCTCCTCCCTGAGCTCAAGATAGAATGGGATATTGCTGACTTTTATGCTCCCCAAAGGGAGGCAAAAGTGCCTGGGAGAAAAGATGTAATAAAAAAAAGTGGTGAGAGGGCGCCTGGGTGGCTCAGATGGTTAAGCGTCTGCCTTCGGCTCAGGTCATGATCCCAGGGTCCTGGGATCGAGTCCCACATCGGGCTCCCGGCTCAGCGGGGAGCCTGCTTCTCCCTCTGACCCTCTCCCCTCTCATGCTGTTTCTCGCTCGCTCGCTCTCTAAAAAATAAAATCTTTAAAAAAAAAAATGGTGAGAATAAAAGCCCTTTGAAAAGGTGTGCTTAAACAAAATTAATTCATACTGACTTGGAGGAAGAGACAGATGTTTCTCTTCTATATTCCCAGAGTGTTCATAAACCAGAGAGAGACAACCGTGTTTCCTAGATATAATGTATGTGCTAACTGGCAATTGTTTAGCGAACTATTATCTGTTTGCGGAGGCTGAAGCTACCTTGTAAAGGAGTTGGGTGCTGCCCTGTTTTTGGGAGGGGGAGCTGTGCACAGTCTGTCCTCACATGGTGTCCTCTGATTGGCATTCCTCCACGTGCCCTTTTCTCAATCCCATTTTTGGAGCTCCTTTACCCTGCTGCCTATGGCTCGTTCTCCTCCATGCATTTCTCCCCAGGGTTGTTCATTTTCCTTTCTTGAGCTCTTATACCTTTAATTGGAACACTGACTTTTTCCTCTTTGAGTTAAAAGATAAGAACTATTCTTGGCCAAGAATATTGTGGTACATTTGAGTGTTTCAACTTTGTGCTATGAAAGCCCAAAGATATTCTTTTGCTGTTTACTCATGATAGAGTTACATATCAAAACCAAACTCTTGATGGTCTTCCTTATGAAACTCCTCTCTTGACCTGACTCTGTGATCTTGAAAGGCAGGGTCCAGAGCTCTGGTGTCTTCTCCTCAGCAGGCTTCGTCTTTACCTCCTCCTTCACACATATACTGTCTTTGACCCTGAATGTGATGCTCCTCCTTCCTCCCTGTCAACCTTAATTCCTGGAAGGTCCAGTTCCTACCTTTTTCCTTATGAAGTCTTCATCTGCCCCAACTCTCATGGGTGGTTCACGAGGTTACTTATGGCTTCCCCATCATTCTGGTAATTGAACACATTTAAATGATTAAATTAAATGAACACATTAAATGAATACTCTACATGGTTCTCCAGGTGCTTTAGGTATATACCTACAGCAAGTTCTCTGCGAGCAGATCTTAACTCTGTCATATTCTCCATAAAGCTAAGACGAGTAAATAGGATAGGGCTAAATTCAGATTTTTTAATTTGGATCTTTGTCCTCACCACCTCACGATGTGCCAGGAACTACTATTTCAGTGTGGTCGCTAGATCAAGCAAAATGCAGTCGCTCTTCTGTGGGGACTTAAGGTTGGATGACACCCCTCCATCGGACAGGCCTGGTATCTCTTCATTCGTGTGTTCAGCAAACCTATCCTGTACCCTTCTGTGGGTTAGGTGCCTTGCTCGACACAGGGACACCAAGATGGGCAAAACAAACTGGCTGTCAAGGCCGGAGAGAGCCTGTTGGCACAGAGTCGAATGAATGTATAATTACACATTGTAATAAATGCTTTGAAGCAAAAGAACAAGGACCATGGGGATAGGGACAGGTGGGGACTTCAGATCGGGTAGGGGAGATCTCCCCAGGGAAATGATTTTAGGCTGGACCTGGAAAATGGACAGAGGCCAATTGGGCAAAGAGCTGGGGAGGAACTGTCAGGCCCAGTGAGCCCCCCGGGAGCTGAGTTCCTGAGGTGGGAGGTGGTGTGCTGCATTTAGGAGAAATTAATCTGCTGGTTTGCCGTGGGGAGCTCAGGCGCTGGGAGGGGAGACTAAGCCAGGTCCTTGCTGGCCCTGTACTGGGAAGGAGGGGGTGGTATTCTGAATGCAGCCGGAAGCCCCCGAAAGTGTTTTAA